AGGAAAATGCCATTTTTCAAGAGCAACAAGACGCCATTAAAACTTACATCGGCCCACCGATTCACTTTCGAACAACGTTGCCAAACTTCTCAGCATGGCTTGTAATTATAGACGGCTGTGGAAGTACCCAACGAAGTACCTACTTGTACTAACTAGTAACTGCCAACTTTAGAGATGAGTTACCAAAAAAAACGACTATAATCACTGTCTTTGTACAACTGTTTTAGGGCGAAAACAGTTGTACAAAATCATCATTGTGACACCGAAATAGAAAAAATGTGTTTCTCTACGAAACGCTTTGTGATCATGTTTTTGCTACCTCGTATCTTGAAATGTAGGTAGGTAGGTACGTCTCTGATCGCAAAGTGTAATAGGGTTGCATATCCATTGTCCGTGGGTGCGAATTTTTTAACACCATAAAACATCTAGTTTTCCTATTATTTGACTACTAAGTATAGTACAAGTAGGTAAATGAACTATATGGACATTATATGATCTGTAATAAAATTGCGCAGTGTAGATTGTAGCACTTTTGCTCTTTTTAACGTTATTTTCGTTAACTGTTTTGCGCGGCCCCATTGATCTATCACATTTGTACAGTTTTGAGCTACTACATGTATATCCTTGCACAAATTAGATTTTGCGAAATAGTATACTTAGTCGGGCTAGTCCATATATTTTGAAAGAGTTTTTTTTTAATAATTATAATAGACCTAAGTATGGGCTATGAACTCATACGTCTATGATACAGACGCGTAAAGCTAAAATGAGGTTATATTTTTGTCAGGGTGAAACAAAAATGTGCATGTCCCCAACATCACCGCAGTTACCTACTCTCTGTGCAGTGTGCAGCCGCTCGTTTCTTAACGTCTAACGCCCAAGGGGTCTATTCTGTATATTGTCGTTAACAAACGATATCGTAATGGCAAAGTAGTATGATCTTTGGTAATGGTAACGATTTGATCTTGAACGACAGGTATATGCCGTATCACTGCCATATGTTATATGTCATACAGAATAGAGAAAATCGTTGCCGAACGATATTCGCTATGTAACAACATCGTTATGCGTTAGAGAATAGGCCCCGTCTACCTCTACAGTTCAACAAAACCTCGCACACATAAAACATTATAGTTTAGGTATTATGTAAGTATTAATATTTTTTATTCATTAAATGAATAAACAAATGTATTAATAGCTTAGGTAAGTGTATGTTGGTGTAAGTGTATGTTAGTTAGCAAAATATGCGACCGATGGTTTAATGCGATATGTATGAATGTAGTACCTCTCTGCTATCTTAAATTTTAAAATTGCATTTTCTTTAAATTTGGCATAATAAACTAAAAATTTTTTTTCCACATTTTTAAAAAGAACCCGTTTATCTATCATTTTCGTAAAAAAACTGTTATTTCAAAAACAAAAATGGTGTGGGGCGTTCAATTGTTTTTGCAGTAACCTGCTTTAACTTCTTAACGGTTTGACCGATTTTAACAAATTTGGTATCGTTGAAAAGAGCATTCCTTAGGAAATAAGAATCAGCCAAAATATAGTTAATTAAGTTGAATCCTTCTCCGCCAGGGGGCTGGTTTTGACACCATGACCCAAAATTCTAAAAAAATCAAATGGAATGATGTGACTTTTTTCTTTATGAAAAAGAGGCAAGTGAAAACCGTTTTTCAAAATCTCGTTCCTAACCTCAAATATTGGAAAAATGAGATTAATGGATCTTTGAAGGGCAAGGATCGCGCGGTAAATTTCCTAAAACTATTAAAAATTTAGCTACAAAATGAATAAGATGTTAAAGAGGCAATTGTGAGTCTAAAAAATATAAATCATTAAACAATATATCAGAAAGTTTTTTTTACGAAAATAATAAATTGGTACTCTTTAAAAATGTGAAACAAAAATTTGTAGTTTATTATCCCAAATTTAAAGAAAATGCAATTTTAAAATTTAAGATAGCCGTTACGCCCTTTGGTGGTCATTTTTAGAACTTGAAAATATTTTCCAGCGATTTTTCATGACCGATTTACCCAATAATTTTTTTACCTCTAAGTCATACGACGAACGGTTCCCGAGATATAGCCCAGGAACTGTCTTATTGGGTCACCCGGTACATACATTAATTTTGTGTATTTTCTATAATTAATATTGTTTAATAATACTTTTACTTATTTATGTTGGAACCCTTAAAAACTGAAAAAAAGAGATTGGAACCGGAACCGGAACCAAAAATTACAGAAGCCGCAGAACCGGACCGATACCGGAAGCCTTACAAAATAATTCTACAGAAATAGTGCGGAACTGCAGAACCTGTATTTCATATGGGTTCCAACCCCTGCTTCAAATCGCCATTTTAGATAGTGTATGATTGGTTGCCTAAGTGGCAGTAAGCTTCCGATTATCATACATCTTATAGTATCCAAAGTGATGATATAATCCCTATGATGATACTGAAGAGGACTGCGACTGAAGATAGATTGACGATCTCATTAATAATAATAAGTGCATCTTGGATGTTCGTCTCAACAAATAGGAAGTTTAGCAAACCAAATTGCAGAAAATTGAGACTGTGGCAGATGAAGTAAAAGAGAAACTACTAACAGGAGTCAGGAGTAAAAAATGTGTAGGATTCCATCCTGTATATACCAATGTATATGTGCTTAGTCGACAAACAGAAACGGTTGAAGACGTGGCTATCCTGCGTTTCGAGCTTCGAGTAAAAAATAAGAAGGGAAAAAACCACGCGACGGAAATGGATAAAAAGGAGGTTATAAAAGAGTGAAAGAAAAGGCGTCACCATTGGCAGAACCATTGATTATACAATAATTCAATGGTAGTACAATGGAGGTCGGTAGTACGCCACTAGAATTACCCACGGCCGAAAATGCAAATGGCTGACGGAAACCAAGAAAAAGGCCGCCACACGAAAATTTGCTTCAATATCAATTCAACCCACAGCATTGCCCTTGGTAAGATACTACCTATAACAATATTTGCTTATACTTGCAAAATTCAAAGTAAATACTCGTAAGTGCCCCTTTATACTGGTTTGTTTATCAGCGTTGTACTGCGTCCTGTCCTTCTGCTTAGCAGCAAGTCGCCCAGTGCGAAGGAGCACTTACGAGTATTTACTTTGAATTTTTCAAGTATAAGTGTGCGTTTACAATGAACGCATACGTAAATATTTCATAAACCGTAACTCGTACATATCCGCATCGTTTCCGTAAATTTACTTCGCTGTTTACAATAAACCATAAACCAAAGATCATACTACAAGTAGTATGATATTTGACCTTACGTAACTTGGAAACATTTTCAACCTTTGCGACTATGCGCAAGACATATGTACGTACGTAAAAATTACGTTCATTGTGAACACCTTCGTATGTTTCTATACAGTTCAACTTTGCGAAATTTTTACGTCTTATGTATTTCTTACGTATACGTTCATTGTAAACGCACACTAAGCATTTGCTTACTTTTGTTTATACGGGCCATTGTGTTTTTCATTAGGTTTCAGTAACCAAATAAGTTATCACACCTAATGCTGTGATTGACCAGGACTCTCAACTGTAGGCTTGGATGCCGATGCCACTGACAAGAAGGGAGATTCTGCTAACAGTAACAGTTTAATATGTAGGTGCAATATATGAGTCAGCGAATCACTGATTTCCACATATTTTGTCATTCTACTTTGATTTGGCCAGGCCTTGTAATTATTGTCATCTTGCATTTGTTGCACCAAGGAGAGTCACCTGTTGTACAACTACCCTGGTTGTACCCCAACCTAACCAGTTCTTTGTTTTGTAAATTGCTTTTAACCTGTTTTTGTGTAGGTAAGTATGTGATTTTCAATTTTTCATTTATTCAAAATACGAATTATAATATTACGCCATTATATTGTTTTATTTTGTGTTCCTGTTCTACATACTACCGTCTACCTGTACTTCAGGTCATAGCGTTGTTTACAAGTAACGTAAGGAAGCCCTGCCTCAGATGTTTGATCATGTGCCACTTGTCAATTTCAAATTTAAGCTGGGACTGTTTAGTTGGAGGGAATTATTTCCAGTAGGGTAGCCATTTTTAAAAGTTGCAGGGCTGAGTTTATTTTCTTGTTCTTGTAGTGTGAAGTTAGCGTACAACCTGGGGGTTTAGTACATATGTTACCGGCAAACTGCGAAATCCGCCATTTTACAAAATCCCTAGGCATTTTGCGAAATGACCAATGCCGCAGGGAAAGTGATAAATGGAACTCGAGTTCGCACTTCTCCTGCCTCTCTTTAGGGATTTCGCAAAATGCCTAAACGTTCAGGCAAAGTGAGAATGCTCGGATAATTTCCACAGATTGCGCGTACAGCGGTGCCAAACGTAAAACCGTCGCGTTACGTTAGTACCTTCCCCCATCTGATATATTCTCCACAGTAAATCCAAAGCTTGACTCAACAGAAAACCCATAGATGAAATGCAGTCTAAACGTGAGCGCAATATTTGGAGAGTACTTAAATAACATCGCAATCGTACGCTTCGTTACCATCCAATGGCAACGTTGTATCAGCAATCTGTGGGAAATGACGAAGCCTTCGCACTTTGCCTGCATGTTTAGGCCTCGGTTTAGGCATTTCGCAAAATCCCTAGAGGCAGGCAAAGTGCGAATTGCAGCTCCGTTTCTCACTTTGACTGTTGCATTTGTCATTTCGCGAAATGCCTAGGCATTTTGCAAAATGCCGGATTTCACAATTTGCCGGTAACACATACACTACAAAACTATTAAATAATAGCTACTTATATCTTTAAGGACTTCAGAACTATTTAAAGCTTTGTAGTGCCCTTAAGACTCCAAAGACCTCTTGATTTAAAACTTTTGAAGGTTCTTGAATATCCCAAAACAACAGAACAGAGGCTCTTGCAAACATTTCGGCATCTAAATTATATAAATGAAAGTTTTTGCAGATAAACAGTACTACTCTATTTATTATGTGCCTACATTACCACATTCAGTTAAAATACGTAATGTTTGTGTGCGTACCAATTACCAGCAACAGAATAAGAAAAACATGCATCTATAGAGAAGAATAGTGCAGTATTACACAATAAGATACTAGACAACTCTAAGGCACTAGAATAACAGATCACAGTTGACAGCAGATTTGATGGATGGCTTTGAGATTATTTTTGTGGGGTAAACAAACGAGCTGGTCCTGCAAACCCACAGATGGGAATGGGTTGCCGGTTCATCAGGTGCAAGCAACGCAAAATATGAGCGCTTTTATGAAAGATTGAATTTTATATTGTCACAGAAATTCAGTTTTATTATTGCTTAGACGGTGAGGTTTTGAAGGTATCTGAAACAAAAATCTCAATCATTTGAGTTCTACATAAACGTACCACATATGTATAAGCATGCAACAACTATTGGAACAAAAGCTCAACAAACGTAATGTTAAAAAAATACACATTTTTAACAAAAAATATATTACGCTCAAATTATTAGACATATACATTGGCAAGAATAAAATTATTTGTTGACGAATTGCAAACATAAAAAAAATAAACAAACAAAATCAATAGAAATTAACAACTGTCGCTTCCAACGGAAGTGTGTGTCGCCCTCTTAAAACTTGGTGCTGTAAATTCTAGAACAAAAAAATTATAAATGACGAATATTGACAGCAAAACAATTGATGAATAACGTGGAAAGAGACCATACCTGATTGAAAACATCATAAATAAGTTTATTCGCTTTCTTAATTTGTCGTTCTCGTACGTCCACCAACTTTTGTTGCACTTCGGGGCATTTCTTGTAATTTTTGGCGGTAAGTTGTTTCATTTCCCGAGATGAAAAGGGGCGCTTTACTGTAACAATAATTAAAAGACAGTTAACTCACAATTCATAGTTAGTAATCAATAATAGTATGTTACAGTATCAACTAAGAATTGTGTTTTATTTTGTTAGTATAGTACCTGGTACCTATATGTTATTAATTTATTATAGTGCGTTCAAACCTCCAAATTCACTATGGGTCTTATGGGAATACAATGCTTGCTTGCCAAACTTATTTAACCGATATATTACTGCGCAGTTTATAATACTGTATACCGAATTAAGCTGGATTCACATGAATAAGAAATCCGACGATACGGTCATCCGAAATGCTTATGATTGGTCAATAGTTTGAAATGTCAAGCACATTTCAAATTATTGACCAATCATAAGCATTTCGGATGCAGGTATAGCAGACACAGATTCTAACCTCAAAATAAACAACAAAATTCTAAATACTTTTTTATATGAACTAAATGCGTTTTTATTAAAAGATCAATTTGGTAAATTAACATTAACAGCGCAAAGCATAGTATTCATCGTTGGTGGAATGTTTGCAATAAAAGAATCGTGCACTTTACGACGAATCAGGGCCTGCACATCATTATCATAAACACAAAGACGGTCATTAATTTGTGTGCCTTTTCTTTTCATAGGTTTTTTTGAACTAGCCACTGCAGTGATTTGATCTTCCTTTCTGATGGCATAGATACTACGTTCCGAACAGCATAAAGCTTTGCTCGCTTCTTTCACAGCCGCTTTAATGTTCATTGTTGCTTTAAAGTAATTAAGTACATTCATAATGAGGCACTTCTCCTTACGACTAAAATGATTTCCTGAATGCTGTTTAATATTCGCATTAGAAGAGCCCGCAGTTTGTTCTTCAACCTCCATATCAAAGGAATATCTATAACTCATACGACGCGTGTATTACATTTAGTTAAGAACGATTTTTAATAAACGGAATTGGTTCAATTTGAAAAATATCGTAAAAAAGAACAGAAAAAATACAAAGAATTTGCCAGTACAAGGAGGTTATGTCAACAAAACGAATGTCTGAAAAACAATTTATTATTGGCAACAAGGACAAAGATACGGTTATATGCAGAAGACTAAAGATAGTAAAGGAGGCGTTTAGTCCATAAGAGCCCATACTGAATTTGGAGGTTTGAACGCTCTATAGTTGGTATGCCTTACATTAGGTTCACTGTTTTAAATCATTTAAAAAAATTTTAATAGTTATTTATGCAATGAGTGTATAAATGAACGAACCAATAATCGCCGATTTATACATGAATTGCATACAACGTTTTTTCGTCGACTTCACTGGGGTAGGTAATTTTAATTTCAACTACAAGAAATTACAAACGAAATTATGAGCTCGTACGATTGTTCACTAAATTACAGCTATTGTCGTTGCTATAGTAATGTGTTGTTTTATGCTGTACCGTCAGTGACTCGTAATCATAGTGGAAGATTATGTTGCTTGCTCTGCTGCGGAGGCGATTTTAACATTATATCCACTAAAATCAAAAGAAACTTATTGGAACGGTTTCGATCAGTTCGGCAATTGATGGAATACAATGAATTTGTAAGGAGATATTTCTGAAAATGTCACGTTGACATTTTACCTAGAAAAGGTATGTGAAATTAGAATGTAATTAATTCTTTTGCAACTGTACTAAAGTACGTGTATTAACAGTGAAAGATATGGAAATGTTCATTCCTGTGGTCGACGTACTCAATGTTGAAGGTAAAGTAACTGAATACCTTAACAATACCTTATCCGAGGAGCTACACATACATACATCAGGATATGCTTTGCTGAGATTGTTTGGCGACCATACTGGCTGCTGATCTCACTACGTTAAAACCGAGATTAAAATGGTTAGGTGGATGGAAGTTCTCAGCTGTTGCCGAAAGTGAATTGTTACATAATTGTCATTTCCCTTTAATAAAATGGTTGTTATGTATAAGTGGTTGCTAACGATTAATGGTTGCTAACGTATAATGGTGGGTTGCTAACCATTAATGGTTGCTAACGATTAATAAGCTTCATCATTGTACTCGTCACTAAGGAGTAATTTATATTGTTATCGAGAGGTCGACGAAAAAAATTATTAAAGCACGCCAATTTCAGGTTATGGGTTCATTTGCCTTTGTGAAATAATTACCTTTATTTTGAGATCGTTTAGTATTTAGCGACATTGGTTTTTGTGTCGTTGCTAGTAATTTCCTGTACTTCTCACTATGCTCCTCTCTAACTGCAGCCAGGTCAAGTAAGCACTGTCTCCTTTGCTCTGCCATAACAACAAAGCGTGGTCGGTTCTGACATAGATACTCCTAAAGTTTCACAATTACGTTACCGTAATAAAAAAATAATTACATACCTGCAAAGTGTAAGGCTTCTCCTTTCTGCCTTTCGATCTCGGATATTCACATTCGGTAACAATTTGGTTATGATCCAAATCGCTCGCTCTAAAACCCTTCGTGGCGGATGGCATTTCTTCACAATGATAGGTACTTATAACTCGCTGAGATGTTTTATTAGTGCGATTATGATGGTTGATTTTAGTTGTTTGTGTTTCATTTGAAACAGCAGGACGACAAGAGTATAAGCAATGACTGCACTTGGTAGACGCATCCGACATTTTATTCGCAGCTTGCTTATCTCTACCTCTTTTGCACTGCAAATTGGAACTTTTTTGAAAATTCTTCGCTTTGCATGATTTCGAATTGCAGTAACTGACAACATGATCTGACGTGGGATTGGGACTAGGGACTTTGATTTTAATTTCTTCTAATGCTTCCATCGAATAATTTTGTTCATTACTGGCGATGTTTTCATCCGACTCCAGTGTTACACAGTAAGCCAACCCTCCCTTTCGTCTCCGATATCTAGGTCTTAATCGACAGTTGCAGTGCTCACAAAAATTTGTGCTGGAAATAACTTCGTCACATGAGCAATCACAATGGCACAGCTCAGTTGTGCTTTCCAAATTTTCTAATTGTTGTATGGTCTTTTTTATTTCTTTTATAGTGCCTCGCGTCGCCTTCTGGTTCGTCTGACACTGGCAAACGTATCCCTCTCTAAAATAAGGCTTAGAATCGTCAACAAACTGTTGATGATAATTATAACATGGATAGCAAAGAATGTACTTTTCACTGTCTTTAGTACTTTGAGTACTGCTACATTGGCAGCACTTTGACGCTGTTTGTGCCTCTCTTTCTTTACAACACACACATGTGGACGATGAGCTTTTTGAAGTCTTACAACAATCGCAAAGTTCTATCATGATCTTCTCTGGAATCTGGTCGGTAGTACTTGGTATACTGTCCGAGTAGACAAGTTCCTTGGACAAAGTCGCATTTCTTCCACTTTTGTTCCCTTGAACGTGCACGTGTTCTAAATTGATTTGGTAGGAACTTGGAATTTCGTCCAGGTACACGAGTTCGCCGGTTAAATGATCACAGTTCTTTTCTTCAAAACTACCACTCGAAGCGGTATATACCACTTCAGATGTTGTTTCAGATTGACTACTGTAGGTAATTACATCGTCGTTTGCTTTTGGGATGTCTGTGACACTAATTTTTTCGGCGAGTTTATTGGTCGAACTAAGTACAGGTTCAGCCACTGCGTCTTTTCGTCCAGGTTCTTTTGCGCTCTCATCAGAAGAAAGTTGGGTCTTTGAAATCTTGTCACGTGATGATCTTTCATCTGTCAAAAATATTTAATGTAAAATTGTATGCAATAACAAAGGAATGATAAAAGCGGAAATAGGTACGTAGAAACAAAATGAAGACTACTGGAAACCCTCACAAAGTAGAAGAAGCAGAGTTACATGTACATGCAAACATAGTCAGTTGTTAGATGGACAGTTTTTAATACGTAGGTAGAATCCTTCATATATTCAATTCATTTACTTAGGTATGAGTGTATGATGTGTTCCATTTTGGTTGAGACTGCAGTGCATCTCAGTTGTTTTTAAAGGTAGACACGAGGATAGACACTTGTGGTTTTTGCCACCATGTGAAACTTTTAATACCAGAAACAGAATTAATCTAGCTACGTTTGTTTCAAGGTTTGTTTCTATGGTACAGAGTGAAAACGAAAAGTTTGACTTTATGGGATAGCATCATAAAACAAAACAAGTAATAGGTTGTCGCCCTTTAGCTTCAACTTCAGCGCATTTTCCATGAATTGACCAGTACTTCCCAAAAGGCCGTAGCTATGTGCGCTATGTTTTTCTTTACTAGAGCATATATGGTTAACATTTCAAAGAAATATCTCCATAAATAAAAAAGCTGGCGTTGCGCAATTTGCGCGCGAGCACATTATTAATTTATACTATAGGTAATGTATGTGATGCCTGTTTTTACTATTATCTGTTCACCGAACAGATGCAGTTAAGCTCCTCCCGAAAAATTAACGGCAAATTTAAATGAACATTTTTAATTGGCCGAACTTTCAAAACCTATTTGCTTCCAATTATAATTGCCGTATCTGAATTGACATCTGTAACGTCAAACCTGTCATTGCGTTTTGTATTTGTCTTTCCTCAACTTGCCCTTAATTTTATGTACACGAACAAAATAATCTGTGTGAACATAATAAACAATTTGAAACTATACTGTGAGTTGAAAGGTCAATATTCAAAACTTGTAATACAATGTGAAACAATGTAAATTTCACTGTTTTTATAGTTTTTGCTCGAATTTTTGTGACTGTGAAACGGGTCTGCTATTACATTGGCCAAAACCGAGGCCAAAAGTTATTGGGAGTGGCTTAACTGCATCTGTTGAGTGAACAAATTATAGAAGCGTCTATGGTTAGACCGTAGAGAGAAATCTTCATAAGTAAAAAGTTGGCATTTTGCAGCGTTTTACTACATCTGATATGCTTTTCTTTACTAGAAGCATCTATGGTTAAAATTTCAAAGAAATATTTTCATAAATAAGGAAGTTGGCACCAACTGCGCATGCGCACATCTAATGTTTGCAATATCAGATATGTTTGCCTTTAACGGAAGCATCTGTGATTAAAATTTCAAAAAGATATCTGGATAAATAAGACAGCTGATATTGCGCATCATGCGCATGCGCACAAATTTGATGTTTACAATATGCGATACGTTTGCTTTTACTAAAAGCATCTTTGGTTAAAATTTCAAAGAAATATCTCCATAAATACGAAAGTTGGCATTGTGCAGTCTGTGCATGCGCACATCTGATTTTTACTATATGCGATATGTTTGCCTTTACTAGTAGTATCTGGTTAAAATTTCAACAAAATATATTCATAATTAAGAAAGTTGACATTGCGCAGCCTGCGCATGCGCAGTGCGCAAGTCAAGGTTTTCCTGGTCTCAGGCCAGAGCTATACAGTGAGTTTTTTTTAAAATGCGAACATAGGAGTTTGCATGCAATGTAATTTCCCTATGTTCGATTTAAAAAAAAAACACACCAATCTATGAGGTGTGCGCGGTTCACATTCCCACCAGCAAAACGCGCAACTTGCGTGGCTATGAACAGCAACGGTTTCTATAGCCTTTGATGAAAAGAACTCAGTAAGATTTTTTTTAAAGAAGCCATGTAGCAACATTAGGATAAATTTTTCTTAGCGGGGTTCACATTTGTGCATTTCCATGCTGCAACTGTGATGCGGCATTAAAATGCTTGCATTTTTCCCCTTCACATTATGCATTTTTTCTTGCAATTTTTGATGCGCATGGAAATGCATGCTTTAGACCACGTTCTATTTTGTATGCATTTTTTGGCGCATCTTTAGTAATATTTTTAGGAATATTTCTCTTGCCAATAGCTAGAATTAAGTTTGCAACGAAAAGTTCGTTGACTCATGGCTGTTTATGTTTCTTAACCTTACATTTTAATTTTAAACAGTTTGGAATTGGGTTAATTATTTTATTTAGTGTTAAAAATGAACCGTGAAATACGTGCTTTTCCATGGTCGCGTACCTTAGTGGAGGACCTTATAATTTTGTACGAAGCGCAACCCTTATTGTATACAACGAAAATGAAAGAATATAAGAATAAAATGAAACGGCAAAATGCAATACAATCAATAAAAAATGAATTGATGAAAAAGTATCAGGTTGAGTGCCGCAATTTAACGGACCAAGACATAATTAAAAAAGTACACGTAATTCGGACGCAATTTAAGAAAGAGGTGGCACTATTAAAAAAATTTTTGTCCAGTGGTTGTTCAGCAGATTCCTACGAACCGAAACTTTGGTGTTTTGACATGCTGCAGTTTTTAAACGAATGCGATCCAGTGAGGGAAAGCCAATCAAATATTGAACCATCAGTAAGTATTTATTTATAAGGTTTTTAAAATAATCACATTGTAATTGATTTTAAGGAGACCCAAATATTCACGCCCAATGGTACTACAGTTACATATGATGAGGATATTGTGTTTGAAGGCACGCTGGAAGACCTGGATGAATATGAAGTTGATGCTTTCAATAACAGTCCATGCACTTCACAAACATCGACATCAAGGGCAACTACACCTACAGTATCAAAAAGCAAGAGGAAAATGCAGAACTCTGTGGCAGACCTAATCCAAACCGCTGTACAATCCCTCGAAAGTTGCAAAAAAAGGCCCCACATTGAAGATGAATTTGATATATTTGCAAAGTAAGTGTTTTAAATAGCAATTAAATAAGTTGCCAGTGATAAATATTAAAAAAACTATCAATTTTTATTATGTTGTAGGACAATCGCAACAGAGTTGAGGAAAGTCGAAGACCCTTACAAAATACGGATGTTGAAGAAGGAGATATTTACAAAAGTTGTTGATGCTCAATATGATTAGATTTTATTTTGTACATTTGTTTATTGATAATAATAATGCTATGCTAAGTCATTTTGCCATTCTACTGCTCCTATACCATTTACATATTGTACAAATTCATTTCGATTATCAAGTGCTGATGCAGTTGACCTGTTGCCTGCTTGTCGACTTAAGGTGTACTTAAATGTGAATCGCCTATCAATGTTCTGTTCCTTAACATCATAACCATTTGGGGACCTTGTTCGCAAAAAATTATGTAGCACAATGCATGCTAGAGTTAATGTTTGGGCCTTACTTGGGTCCAAACTTATAATGTTCAATAATACACGAAAACGATTTGTTAATATCCCAAATGCGTTCTCCACAACTCTTCGTGCTCTGCTTAGGCGATAATTGAATATACGTTGTTGCCAAGTCATATTACGAAATGGAAACGGCTTTAAAATATGACCGGATAATGGAAATGCTGCATCAGCAACTATTACATATGGTACTGGTTTGGTACCCGCTGGCAATGGTCTTTCCTCTGGAAAATTTAATTTGTTTGTTTCAATCGCTGCAGCAAGTGAACTATTCTTGTATACACCCCCATCTGAAATTTTTCCATTTCTACCCACATCGACATATAAAAAGCTATAATTGGCATCAACCAAAGCCAATAGTACGATACTGTGTGTGTGCTTATAATTAAAATATGACGATCCTTCATTTGCGGGAGCTTTTATAACAACGTGTTTACCATCTAATGCACCTAACACATGTGGCAAGTTCCATCTTTCTTCAAATTCATTAGCAATTTTTAACCATTCTTGGGTTGTAGTAGGCATCTAAAAATATTATTTAGTTAAACATCATTTTTATTCATTGTCGAGTGTAGCTGTATCTACCTTTAAATACTGATTTTTTAAATTATTGTAAATGGCAATGCAAACTTCTGGGATTATTCCAGCAATTGTTGATTGTCCCATTCTAAATGAAAAGGAAAGACTTTTATAAGACTCGCCAGTAGCTAGATAGCGCAATGTAACAGATAATCGGTCTTTGGCCGAAATTGCATTCCTGAATTTAGTGTCCTGTTTCTGTATATCATTTTCAATAAGTTTCAATAGATCATTGAAAGTATCTTCATCCATTCTAATAAAATTCTTGTAATTTTCTTTATCCAGCACTGCTAATTCATTGTCCAACAAATTAGAATTGCCTTGACTATTTGTTTCCCGTTGCTCAATCCATGGTCTTACCCACCACCGTCTCTTACGATTTAATAATAAAGCTGCAGATGCACCAATTATAAGTGTTATTAGAACAATTTCTTCCACATCCATACTTCAAGTATTTGAACTTTGAGGGAAAAATTTATAAGAAAAACACTTTTATTTTTTACTCCAGAATGCCAATTGAGGAGAACTGGGTTGGCAAAAAGTAAATTCCCTAACTAGTGATATTTGTAATTGCATCAAAAATTGCAGTAATCTGAATAGCTACGCGCGCATGAAAAAATGCAGCAACTTGATGCGCCATCAAATGCAGCATGAAAATGCACAAATGTGAACCCCGCTTTAAACTTACGATAACTTGACCTCACAGGGCACGCGCTGACTCCACAATTCATTGTGAACCAACCTCCAATTATTTGTAGGTCATGTGCACCTGGTATTCTACTAATTTGATCTATTCAATACATAAATGAAGAAAATAAATAACAAAAACAATTACGTACAATAAATGTTCAAAGTGTCCTCCTTGACATTGTAAGCAATAACCTAACCGATTTCGTAATTACATTGGACGGCGGTATTTTTAAAAATGTGACAGCTGTCAATTTTATCTACTACTCATTTGAACTACTCAGTAGATTGATGTGTTTTTTTTAAATCGAACATAGGGAAATTACATTGCATCTCGCATTGCATGCAAACTCCATGTTCGCATTTAAAAAAAATCACTGTATATGCTACCGAATGCAAAAAGAACGAACTAAATATCTTGAAAACTGTAGGAGTCGTAAAATTTTTCATATGCGCCATGGGCCACAGTTCAAAACCCAATAAAAGTATGTTTAAAGAAATCAATAATTATCTATTTCTTGTTGGTCTTGACCTATTTTTTGCTATCGTAAAAATTATTTTTTTAAAAAACAATAAGTACTCCTGAAAACTGACACCATTTTGCATACAACATTTACCAGGCGTGGATAAATAAATTCCCATATTCAACTTGTATCCACATTTTCATTTATGCTCCTACGATTTCTTGCTTAAAAATGTTGCTTAATCCCAAAACACGTGTCGTTTTATTGCCCCACCCGGTATATATCGCGAAGAAAATTCTGGAAAATACCTGACGGTATCTCTGAAACAAGAAATTCATCATCAAAGAGGCTTTCAAATGTCTTGGAAGCTTCGGATCGCGTCCACTAAATGTTGCACGTGTAACACAATCATTAGTCACTAGATATAGAAAATACTGTAATCATCCGCCATTTTTGGGCAAATTTGCTGCTAACTTAAAAAAATTGACAAATAAAATCTGAATAGCTGTAATTTTTTATAACCTAACTTCATAGTACTGTCATGTTTTATAAAAATATATAAAATATATATATATAACTACGGTCTATTCAGTATATCTTCCGTTGCACGTCATTACCTGAAGAAAACGACGTACCAACGTAAACTTACTTTCGTTTATTAGGCAACACATTAAGCATGTAGTTTATTTTAGCCGCAACAATTGGTAGCATTTCGCCTTGTTGTCGCGTTTAAAATTGTAAATTTGACAGGTTGCTTTTGGTTTACTTTTCGTTTGATTTGATTTTGATTATTTTCTACGTCTTTCGCTGTGCATTGGTTTGAAGAGAAATTACTGAAGAATTTAGATAACCCGTCAGTAATTGTGTTCGATAACGGGAAAACAGACAACATTAAAGTGTGGTTAGGTGATCATAATGTGCAGTTCTCCGACAATGATTTTAAAGCCGAACTGTTGAAAAGGTTGCACAGTAAGTACGTTCGCAAATTATTTGATATTATCTAAATCTTGTTGATACTTTTAGGAATAAATCAGCTAAAATGTACCGCATAACGCATTGACCACTTAGCCGAGCAATATGGTTACTTCGTTTTACAATTATCACTCTATCATCGCGTTTTTAATCCTATCGAACATATTTGGGGCATAGCGAAAAATTACTACAATCGACACATTGGTAGAGATGGACGAAGCATTGAAAATTGCATAAACATGTGACAAGAAACACTACAATCGATAACTTCCGAAACGTGGCGCAATTCAGTTAAGGATACGGAAACTGTAATACACGAAAGAGAAAAGCAATTAGATCTTGAAAACGTTGCTACTATTATTATAAACTTTGGACACGAAAGCAGTTCTGATGATTCCGATTAATTTGAATATCATCCATCACATCACATAACCTGTAAAATTTTATATTTAGTACTTTCTCTGTAAAAGAGATGCTACATTTGTACAGTTCATAAGTTATTAAAGTATATTGTATGTATATTGTGGTTCCAATTAACGAAATGAATAATAAAAATTATTTTTATTTTATTTAAGGTGTGCATTGTTCACACAAACAATGCAGTCTGGTTGACAAGTGACATAACCTAAATCGCTCAAAACTAGATTTGGCATTATTGCATAGTAATTACGTCACAGAAAATGATGACGTGCAACGGAAGTTATACGGAATAAAGTGTACATATATCTCCAAACAGGTGGAACAATCCCCAACATTAAAGTTACTAGAATCTGGTAATTTCCGCCATTTTTGGGCAAAAATCATGCGTTCTCTCTCTAACACACGGCCCAATGGATTGCGGTACTTTCTATATTTAGTGACTTTAATATCATATTAATTAATTAGTTCGAATTTTTAATGTAACCTGGCAGGGCGTACGTAGTATCAACTATGAATTATGCTCGCAATTATGTTAGAGGGCCGGACAAAGCTTATCCCAAAATCTCCACAGAGGCTACCTGCAGTATAACCAATGTCTAGAATGGAAAGCACTGAGGCCCAAATCATTTAAAAGAAAACTGAAAAAATACCTGATCGCCAAAGCCGAGGCAAAAGCGTTATATCTCTGTACAAGAAATCAACCTCAAATACAATTAGATACTACTTTATACATTTATTCTCTCATGTGACTACTTCTTATTAATTATATGTACCTATTACTTTGTTATACTTATATAAGTGTACACGAATATTATGAATGCGATGATACGAGTTCGAACCCAAGAGCGCTCGTTTTTTTTTCTATAATCGCAGCAAAAAGAAGTGTGAGAGAGAAAGAAGTATGTAGTCATTTCTATGAGCACTCACTCAATTTTTAGCGCATTTTTTAAGAATAAAAAAAATGTGCTATTTGTTTGCGTTTTATCCGTCCGTCCGGACCCACTTCTGCCGTTTCGAACTACTGCTACGGGAATGGTCCTAGAGTCCTGGAATTTTGTGGCAGTACCTAGGTAGCCCATACCTTGGAGGTGTGCCAGACGGCCATCAAATTTCTCTGTCTAAAAGGGGGCCCCCCTAGGAATTATTTCCTGAGATGCTGTGTTTGAAAGTAAAACGTGCATATCTTTTACATACGACAACCAATTGGTCTCAGATTTTCAGATTTTGCATACGCATGCCTTTAGTGGTGCGAAGTTAAACTTGAGAAAATTGGGGGGGGGGGCATACTTTCCCCTGTGACTTTTTCGGGAATCAGCGAGCGACGGAGTCTGAGGGGGGGGGGGGGAGGGTTAAAAATTAATTTTATCTCTCATTGTATTCTAATTAAAGGTCTCAATGAAAGGAACCGTTTTCTACCAACTACTGCCTTTCTTTCTGTCCACTTATCAAAGAACGGGGTGGAGGGGGAGGGGGTTGTGGAACTAGTTTTATCCTTCATGGTACTCTAACGAAAGGTCTCAACGAAAGGAATTAATTTCTACCAATCATAGCCCTCCTCCTCGACCTCTTATCGTGATCGTGTAAATTCCCTTATACCTCAAGAACAGACTGTCCGAAGAGGGTACTACCAAAGGGCGATTGAGACGTGTGCAAGAAATATATCCATTGGTGATGTCAAAACAAGAGCTATTTTGGTAAAAAAAATGCGCTTTATTTGCACAACAGTTGTGCACAATTTATAATTGTTTTGTATGTACTATTTACTATTATCTTTAATTTTTGTTTCAAAAAATTACGGTGCCTGTAAATGGAGTTTTAGGTTGTTTGGAGCAATAATGTTATAATAATAACACTAATAAGTTAATAAATAACTTCATTTACCTCAAAGCGAGCCTTACAGGCATTAAAGCTTAGTAAGGGTATACCTCGGGCTCGACCTCGGGGTCTCGCGCGGGGTGTACACAAGTCGATAAATAATTGTTAGTTGCAAACAAAAGATCGAAAAAATGTTTGAAACAAGGAATGCAAAGGGGTAGCGAATTTAGACATTTATTCTTGCCTCTATCAATATCACAAAAATGTGAGTAGTGTCAGTTATGTTATAGAAAGGAGCTGGCCTGTGTGGTGCAGTGAAGTCGAAGCTCGACTGCGGTACTAAGGGTCCCTGGTTCGAATCCGGGTACAGGCATGATTATTTATAAATGTATAGTGGATTAGGCGAGGGATCTAGGCCGAAACCCCGCCCACTTAAAAATAAAGACCAAAAATAAAAAATGTGGTGTACAATTTTGAGAATGATAGGTAATCTAATCGCCTCGTTACGCTGTAATAATGGATAAAACCTGAGATAAAGTTCCCCTTGGAGGACGTTTATCAATTTCAGCAAAGCTTGAAAAACACACTGTTAAAAACTGCAATTGATGCTAACACAATGGTAAAAATGCCAGTTTTCACTCAGAAATTTAAAATCGAAGACGGCATACAGTTTTTGTTGTATAGGGAAATAGTATAAAGAACCCAAACAAGAGACCTAAGTGTGCGTTAGATCTCTTGCTTTGAGTGCTTGTTTCAGCAGACTTATCTGGTACACCTTGCATAAACACCAAGATAAAAGGTGAGAAGTAAAGTGATGGCTCAGATGATGGAATAGGTATAGAGAAATATGCCAATAATCCTCACAATAATCAGTGAATGAGTCACTCAAATAAACAATTGATTATCTAATACCTTTAAAATCAAGCAACAAGCAAAAATTAGTCTAATTATCGATATTTGAAGGCCTTGCAGGAATATCTACACAAATAATTTCAGTACCTAACAGCAGAACATCTGAAGCAATAACTACCTACTGCAAATATCCTTACCAGAGCCTTCACTTTCCTTTTGGCTTTCGAGTGTTTGAGGTGGTTCAGTATCTTGCTCTAGGCCGCCTTCACTTTTATTGGAAGCGGAATCCTTCTTCTGTATTTCATTGTCTTCATGTGCAGATCGACTGCTACTTTTTTTGGACTTCTTTGAAGAACTTTGCGACCCCCGTTTTGAAAATGAACCTGGTGTAGACACACTTTTGGACGTTTTCGAATTTCCGCTCATTTCCGACACATTGCCACTTGCCACATCCGATTTGTGTATTGTCGAACTTTTCGAAAAGCCACTGGCGTCGTCGTTAATATAAACCGGAGTAAGCTGCACATTCTTGGAGGGAGCGCCTTGCAGTGGTATTTCGAATGTGTAACGACGAACTACCGTGGTACACCGCGCGTTAGCATTTTTCGTGGTAAATTCCTCGCTCGATATTAAATGGGCATCTTGCAAGTGAATCGTATCGCCTCCAACTTCGATAACTGTATTAAGGACGGTTGACGGCTTCGAGCTTGAACATCTGCAACTGCAGGCACATGGATTGTTATTCACCGTTGAGGAATTTGGTTCAGTTTGTGAAGGAATGCTTTCTTTTTGTGTCGATAGGACGTAAACTGTTGTTGTTTTGCCAACACCATTTAATTGTTCTACATTATAATTTTGTAATTCCTTTGTGGCGGAAGTCTTCGTTTGCAGTTGCTGCACCTCCTTAATCCCATCACTTAATTCTTTTGTAGTAATTTTTCCCAAACTGTGACAGTCCCCGGCTCCTTCCTCTAAACGTTTTTCAGATCGAGTTTTATCCTCCCGCCAACTTTTAGTGCCATCCTTGTTTGATAGTGAACTATGCACATCATTTGTTTCTCTCAAAGGTAGATTTGTGTCCCCAAACTCCTTTGTAGTGGTATTGGTAGAAGCGGCAACCGTGTCATACAAATCAGAATCAGTTAAAGTGAGAAGTCGACTCCGTTTCAATCTACCACGGTCGCTATTAGTTGACGTGGGTGGAATTTCAGTGGCGAATGTTTCAGTCTTTAATTTTTCTAGTACAGTTTGTTTGGGCGATTTTGTAATTTTCTTATCATTACTTCTGTCTTCGGTTTCGGACACCTCACTTTGAGGAAGGACACTCTCTGAACTGTCACTTTTATTGTCTACCAGTTGCTTCATAATCGCTCTTAGATAGAATTTTTTTGTGAGGCTGTCATACTTTTTGGAACGAATTAATTTTTGCAACAGATCTACTGTTCTTTGTAAGTCCTTCACATTCCCCCCGTCCTTTCGGTTATCGCGAGTGGTATTTAATAAAACCTTTGTAAGACTATCATTATCAGACAGCTTAACTACGGGCGAATTCTCTTTGTCAGATTCAGCTGTAGACTCCGATTTTCTACTTTTGGAATTATTCCTCGATTTATCAACATATTGGAAGCTATCACAATTAGAGAAATCAGAAGGAGTTTGTGTGTGCATGGTAGAACAATTTGTAGAGTCATTTTCTGTCGGTGAATCACTATAACAAACATAAAACACATTCTGCCTTTCGCCTGCTCCCTTAGTAGGCGTTATTACGCCGCAATTCTCAAAATCAAAGTCTGTTTGAATCCCAACCGACACTGCGTTTAACGATAATGAAGTTTGCACTGTTTTGCTTTTTCCACGTGGAGGCCGTGTCCACCCCGCACATTCGACAACAACTGGTTTACAAGCACTCAACTTCAACAGTTTCAAGTTTTTATAGCGTGAAATACGATCGATAGCTCCCAAATCAATTTTTCCACGATCAATCACTTTTGGAGTGGAACAGCATTCGATTTCATCAAGCAGCTGTGTCGATTGTGCAATGGGTAAACCCACCTTTGCCTTTAATGACTTTAAACGTTGAGCCTTACTTGACCCACTATCGCTTAGAAAACTGCCCGAAGAAGGTGTGGTCGAGATGTATCCTTTAGGTGACGATTTTAAACTTTCAGATGTGCTGCTCAGATCAGACAATTTCGTTTCGGTGCAATGCACTTCAACCGAACGCTTCGTGTCCTCTCCTTCTCCTGCATTTTGACTTAACAACTTGTCACGCAGTTTAGTGTACTCAGCATCCGTCAATACAGGCAGAGACACACTTTTGTGAAGGGTCGAGTTGCTGTAACCGATATCTGCGCCATTATCCCATTCTAATTTGCGATTTGAAGCAACACTACTTGCTGGAGACGGAATACAAACATTTTCGATATGAATTATTGGTATGTCCCTGGAAGGTGATGCGGTAGCTTCTGCAACTGGTATTGTGACCAATGGTGGACTAACAGCAGGTACCTGTCTCCAATCTTGTAATTGAATCCCCGATGTTCCGCAAAAATATTTGGGTAGTTCACGATTCTGGGAAAAGCACCTATAATAATCCAGTACTTGTGAGGTTACTGATTTATCCTCCTTGTGTTTTTCAGGTGCGTCCCCTTCTTGTTCTTCCATAATAATTGAAGGCAGCTACAATTTAAACAAAATTAACAAAAATAAAAACATAACCTCAAATTTTTGTAAACAAAAACGCATTTAACAACAAAAATTAAAAATAACAACATGTCATACATACTTGTCGCTAATTTACATTAACTTTTCACTTCAAAATTTCTACGAAAACATCAAATTTTCAAATGCCAAACATTTAACGTTCTTTTCAAAACGGTTTTCAACGATTTGGCGGTAAAATCAAAATGAGCGAACCACAGACCATCAACGGGAGCGAACTACGCGACATCGGAGAAACGTCATCGGTAAGAAGTTGTACCTGTTGTGACGCGGAAGAAGAGCAAGATCCGGATATTTGCATTGTCGAAGGTTCCGATGTTGATAAATCTATATCGATTGACACCGAAGGCATGCCCAAAACGGTATGGAGCAAAGTTAGACCGCCACCGAATCTTGGAAGTTATCAACCCGCGGTATCGGCACGACAAACCGAAATTATTCGTGCGCAATTAACACGGAAAATCGCGGAAGATCTCCCTCAGGATCCGTCAAAAGTGTATTGCAAGTGTGAACCTAATATTAGTAAAATGAACATTTAAATTCTGTATCTAATTTTGACCATGCGTAGGTACCTATCAATAAACTTTTGGGAATGATTGATGTCCTTTTACGCCCATGGACGTGATACTCCGCTTCTTATAGTCAAAGTCAAATTTTTGTTCATTTGTTTGGATTCTGGATCTTAAAGCGGAAGGTGAACTTGCGTCTACGTGCACATAAGTTCTCTACTACTCTTTAGGGCTCTTTTGTACTGGGCACTTCCTCCAGCCTCCATGATTAGAGTCTGCCCCAACCACCGCCACACGCTTGAAGCAAACTTGAGGACACCTGTAGAGTATAAGCAGCTGTAATCTTGGTCATGTTCGGCCAGGATTCCTCCAACATTTGGAGGAGTGCTAGACCCTCCCAAAGGATTTGGTGATTCGTCTACTCGCCTGTATTCCATCCTCGTCAGGAGGGTGCTTCGGCCAACCTCAATCTTCATACAACGTCGCGCAGGAAAGGTATAATTGGTGCAAACCAATTCATTTCGGTGAGACCTTTCATTAGAATACCATAGGTTAGAACCTGTGCCCCCCCCCCCCCCATTTTCAAAAATTTTACTAGGCGTATAGATCGAATCGAATCGGATGCTTAATGCCTGAGCCCGATACAAATTCATCCGATTCGATAAAATTTTTAGAACTGCAGTTTAATTGCATCAGGTAGGCCTAAACAACATTACTGTAAACAAAAGTGGATGCAAGCGAAATTCACCTTAAATAACATTCTTTGACGTAGGCGATACGACCTAGAATCGCTTAACGGTTGCGGTACCGTATTTTGTTCATTCTTATTCTGCACGTCAACAATAACGCGATGCAGTTTGTTTAATAGAATTGTTTATGTTTAATCGGCGACGTGAGCTAAAAGAAGTTAACAGGCGCACAGAATTAGCAATCAGAAGAGCGAATGGCGCTCTTAACCAACTGCTTAGTGTTTCCGTGGTCGGGCTACTAGAGACTATATCAATGCCGCAAATACGGAAGCCATAATCGTGTAGTGTACTTAACCCCCAGGTTCTACACTAACTTCACATTCACACTACAAGAACACGGAAATAAAACCAACCCGGCAGGCGGCAACGTTTAAAAATGGCCACCAGAATGACTATTCCCTCCAAAACTAAACGAGATCCCGCCTAAATTTGAAAAGTGACACGTGATAAAACATCTAAGGCAGGGCCCCATTCCGTTTGTAAACAACGCTTTGACGGGAAGCACAGTAGGGAAGTAACGTAAAATAAAACACTGAAATTGTGAAAAGTTTGTTTAATAATGATCGCAATTATTAAGATTGTGAAAGCTCGGAAATTTAAGTCGAAATAAATTACATTGCAAAAATAAACTTTGAAAATGGTAGTTCACCGAATAAAAATACAAATAGGTTGGCAAAAAAAAGAACTTACCAATAAAATAAACCCAGCCGTCAAATTAATATCAAATATTGTTGTAAAATTAATTGTTTGTAATGATGTGAATGCGTAACAAAAAATTATAACATCGTAAAAAGTAGCAGGTAAACTTCAAGAGATAACATATAGGTTAAAAACAAGCAGGTAAGCAGGTACCAACATTCTAAGATAGGGAATAAAGTTGTTATTATTATGGTCGGTGTATCTTGTGAGAACTCAGGTCTAGCCTGGTTAACTAATCGCACGGATTAAAATCAAGTAACGATTATAGTGTCTGTGCCTGTGTCTGGTGAAGTTATGTAGGGTCCTAAAAAAAATAAAAGAAATAAATAAATAAAATAAAAATTCACACCCTCACATTGGAAATCTAGAGATAGTACCAACATAGCTATTGATGGGCACAATAGCCAACGCTATCAGGAAAGAGGAAAACAAAACAAACAAAGAAATCATTATAATAATTCCTGTAATTTTATTAAATGGAGTTTAAATTTATTATTATGGTAGGTGTATCTTGTGAGAACTCAGGTCTAGCCTGGTTAACTGGTAGTTATTATTATCGGTGTTTCTTGTGAGAACTCAGGTCTAGCCTGGTTAACTAATCGCACGGATTAAAATCAAGTAACGATTAGTGTCTGTGTCTGTGTCTGGTGAAGTTATGTAGGGTCATTAAAAAAAAAAAAAAAAATCACACACGTACATTGGACATCTAGGGATAATGTAATTCGTACTTACCAACATACCTATTGATGGGCACAATAGCCAACGCTATCAGGAAAGAGGAAAACAAAACAAAACAAAAAAATCATTATAATAATTCCTGTAATTTTATTAAATGGAGTTTATTGTGTAAGTGTTTCTTTGGCTTTGCGTTTGGGTTGAATACGAGTGGGTTGTGATAACGTGGTGTTCTTCGGTGAGGATGGAGTTTTGTGTTTTTTAACTGTGCTAGGACGTGTAACTTTATTGGGTGGACCTGTTATTATTATTATTATTATTATTATTATTATTATTATTATTATTATTATAAGAAAGGGTGAAATACACAGGATGTGACTAATCTTTGGTGCAATAAAGAAAATTACATGGCCTTGTAGGCAAGTTTAACTAAAAACAAGATATGTGGAAATTATTGAATCGCCACTCATTTATCGCACATAGATTCTAAACCGAAGAGCTCTGATTAGCGTAATCCCGCTCCTGCAAGATGGGTAGCCCGTCCCTGGTTTCGGAGTTTCGAGCCTAAAGTTGAATGTCGAAGACAATCACGGAATTGGCTATCGTAACTCAAGGTTGACTACAGTTTTTACCACCCTCGTGACTGCTTCATTCACGGACAAAATTGTTAGTTACAAAAAACAAGTCGGTACATACATCAAACGAAACAGTAATTTCCACATATTATAATAAAATGATCAAATCTTATATGAATGTTACTTCAGGGGCAAGACCAAGTCATCAATATCAATAAACATAAATTAAGCAAGCATTACACCAAAAACGTAAACAATTACAAAAAATAGCATAACGGTATCACATATGTGATTCTTCATTGCGGTTAAACCAAGTAAATTTCAAAAACAAAGATTCAAATACACACAAAAATATAAAATGTGGCACACAAAACACAAATACGATATAAAGAAATGCAAAGATTACTACCTGCATTAAAAAAAAAGCACAAAATAACAACGAACATTTATGAAGCGACGCGTTCACGGCCACCATTCAAGACAAGATGCCCAACGTAACCCACGTTCGTGCTTTCTAGATGGCGCAGGCAGCTTTTCCCACCATAGGTATATTAAAGTATCTATGTTTCCCACCTAAATATTACATGGATGCCAACTCTCAAAAATGTATGTATCGTACTAACTTGTATATACAGGGTGGAACCTCTCAATCTTCAGTAAACGTCAGTCAGGCGTATTGCGCCAGTTGCGGGAACGCAAGAAAGACACATTAAACGTCCCAGGAAGATCTTGGAACGACCATAAATAAATAAATGGAATAAAAATAAGCGGCATCAGTAAAACCCAATAGGCTAATGCTGAGAAATCAGGGTGCAATACCCAGCGCAGTTTAATAAATCAAGTAAACACAACAAAGAAGCTAACAAGATTGAGTGAGAATTTTAAAAGTATTTTCTTCAGAGCGTATGGGTATTAGCGTTGCAACCTCGATGGAGGTAATACTAGTTTGTAGAAGGATTTCGTTCGAGCAGCCGTTTAGTCTCTCCAGATTCATCATCCATCCCTTCCACGGTAAGGTTTTAACTTCCTCTCAGATCATTTGACTGATCTGACATTTCTTCCCTTATTATTCTCTTTATTCCCAGGTATTAGATGATGCAGCTACTGCCACCCCTAGACCAAAGAGTACCCATACTCTTTACTTAGACACTAGGTACAATATGTTTAGCTAGTAAATATGGTTTTAAAAACCTTGATTCGCGAGAGTACGATCAGCGAAGTTGGGGAAATCTGGAGAACAAAAACCTCGGCTTTGAAAATCACCACTTGTTCATATACAAATTTGGATGGGTTTTCAGGCCGCGTTTGCTCGGCGTCGATGGTAGGTGACCAGACTTCAGCGCAAAAACCTTCCTATTATGGTTGTATTTATTATGCTTTTAATAACGGCGAGGTCTTCCCGCTCGACTTCAAATTAATAATGGGTGCGTTCACCAGACGAAGCGCTTCATGAGAGCTACGTAAAGGCGCATTCTCCTGGTAAGGTGAAGGTATGGAATAGCATTCTGTTTCTTCGAAGGTAATCCTGTACCATTCAAGATTGGTTTGGATTATCCGCCAATATCCTCGATTCTCTGCCTTGTGTCCGGATGTTCATTGTTTTGGTGGCGATGGTTTCCAAATAACACTGGCGTGTGCTACGAGGTTTTCAAACTTCGACGATTTGTAGAATTCTTGCTGAATGCTGTCCTCAGGTGACGTGGCCGTATGTGGCGTAAGCTGGTTTTTGATAAATGTTGAAATGGGGACGCCGGTACCTGAGGAGGTGCGAGTAGTAAAGGTGTCGGATTCGGCACCGTATTTACTGCCGACAGGAATCTATCTCCCAAAGACAAATCAAAGACGGAATCAATGTAAAGCTTGAAGCACACTTGTCTTGACGGAATCGGCCCGGACAGGATCGCAAAAATTCCGATGGAATGTTATCTGTAACCAACATTTTTAGATGTGACTGATGGTCACATATGTTAAATTTTAGCGCGCTAAAAGTAAGGACTGTTACAGTCGCCGATAAATATATTGCTACAAAAGGTACATTATGTCTTTCGGAATTAATATAAAACTTTGATGTTCCATTATTTTTTCATCAGTTTATTCGACGTTTCATTGCTGGTCAACTTCGAAGTGTTTTCTAACAAGTTTCTTCTCGCTCGCTGAAAAACCTCCAAATCTCTTTGCAGTTCGCTTCTTTCACGTTCCTCCACAATCTCTAAATCTTTAAACGATCCCGTATTGGGAACTTGTTGGCTGAAACAGATACTTACTTCACCTAGCATTTCTACACGTTTGCCAATACGTACTTATTATATTTCTCCCCATGATGTGGTTGGGATATGACTTGCATTGAGGAATGTCGAGAAGATCCCTGGAAGATCGATATTAAATGTGACGCCTACAACTGCGTTAACTATTACCTGGCGTCGTTTTTCTGTAGACCCACTAGAACCAAGTATTCGCTCAGGTAAAGTCTTCAAATGACTTAGAATCGGCTTGAATGTTGAATTGGTGGGCGTCACGTGCTCATTCGTCGACTTAAATGAGCTGCAGAGTAACCCGTATCCTATTTCAGAATTTTTGTGCTTCGCGATGACAATGGGTTGGCGATGCAATCGCGAGGGTATTTCAATTATGGTCGTCTCTTTGGGATTGACCATACCTTTCGGTATTATAACTTTTTGGGGTGATATGTTCCTTGTTGGGCGCTTCTTTTCCCTACTGGTCACAGGCATTTTTATTTACTGTGAATTTTATAATTCGATGTCAAAATGGTAACTGACAGACGATGACCTGATCAATAGCGTCTAGTTGAAGTGATTGTTGTAATAGTTTGCACTCTGCGAATAATTATACTACCAGATGGGCTGGTGCGAATTTGTTCTGTTCTGATAGGCCCACGCGAATGGCACACAGGCTCGTTTGCAAAACGCTGACTGGTGTTAGGGATTGATGTGGTGTGGTACACGTTTGGTCGTGCCGGATCTTGTTTTACGGATTTAGGGCCAGGTCTCTCATTCTGCTTAGATGTTCCTGGTCGATTTCGATTATATGGAATTGGATCATTTGTGATATCCGCAGAAGTGCTCTCTTCACAGCCCAAAGCGGGACAGTTATTATTGTCGCAAGATATTGTTTGTGGTGTACTGGTTGCAATTGGTGCCTGATTCTTAATTGAAGTAGACTCATTAGTTGCTGGACTATTTCTTCCTAATGGCAAGTTTTGCGTATCTGTCTGATCTTCTATTGGGAAACTATGAAACTGCCGTTCAGCATCGTTTATTGGGGTATCTGCAACGTCTTTCTTTGGTTGTTCTGGTGGGTTTGGCTGAGGTGTTGAGTAATTTTTTGGTTCTGCTTCCTGAACGTGTGCTTCCATTTTCGCCTGACCTTCCGTAGGTAAGCTATACTGTTCTTCTCTGCCGTTTGTTGGAGCATCTGCAGTCTCTTTCGTAGGCGCTTTCGATGTGTCTGACTGAGTTGTTGAGTCATTTTTTGTTTGTGTTGCGCGGACCTCTGCTCTAATTTCCGCCTGATCTTCCATACGAACACGATGAGGTTGGTCTTTGCTAACTCCTGACGCTACATCTACATTCGAGTTTTCCATGGTTCCTTTCGATGTTTGTTGCCCAGCACTTGCAGTTGTTGCTTGGGTCTGAAGTACTGGACCATTTGCCTCAGGCGATAAATCATTTGGTTCTGCTTCTTCATATTCGGCAGACTCTTCGGAATCTGTGTCATCATATTCGGTAACGGTGGTGCGTATAATTCTTCTATAAATTACTCTCCTTTCAGTGTACGGAGTTGACGTGTTACAATTATCTGGACCTGAACAGCAATTCTGGTGGGGATTATATCTAGATTGATAAGGTTGTCTGTTATTCATCACTGGAAATTTGGAATAATGTTAATGACATTTCGGTATGTCATTTTATACATAACACCACAATGCAACAAAAAATAAATGCAAGCAGGGGTTTATTACTTTAGAATGATACAGAGTTTTTGATTTATGTATTCAATTTTGCAACGGGCACAAGTTAGGCTTGCCCAACGCAACATTCTGCACCTGGTGGGGTTTGCATACGTTGGTAAAAGAATTTCTTGGGTTCGTTTCAAAAAACCATTTGCGACCTATTTTTTCTTTTTATGCATTTTATTTCCACTGCAAACGCTCTTCTTCGCCATCTCAGATGTTTTACTTGTTTCAGATTTACATTTCTTTTCCGGTTCTTTATTTGATGATGCAGCTGAGGCAGAGGGTGTGTGACCGTGACCGTGAGGTCTTGATGAGCAAGACTTGCAAGTGGATGCGGATTTACCATCATCAGTATGCTTAGCTTTACATTGCGTTTTAGTAGGTTTTACTGCCACTGCATGTGATTTACACTGCTTCGTCATTTTATAATTGACACTACTTTTAAATTTTGAGGAACTTGTAGCCAAATAATTTACTTTTGACGTAAAATAAACGTCAGAGTTAATACGACGTGTCAATAAAAACAAGGGTTGTTTATAATGTTTATTATCATAGGAGTCATACTATTTATGTGCAAAAACTGGGCATTCCCAAACCCTATTTTAATCGGTTTTCTTTTGCAGAAGATGACTGTTAACAACAACGCGTATCGCCCCACTTGTCATCGAAATTTTTCTTGGTCCTGGACTAGGCCAATCTAAAGAGATCTTTGAGTTCTCAGCTGTTGCCTTAATGTTTCTAAGAACCCTCACGGGATGAAAATGTTTAGATAAAGCAATTGAACTATGAACAGACTGACAAACTGACGTGCAACCCGCATAGTGGCATATACAGGGTGTTTACAGTCTTGTGATTTTATTTTTAAGGGGGATTCGCCCTAAAACATCTGAATATAAAAGTCGTATACATATAAATATGGCAAATCCTACCTTTTTGACCCATCAATTTACATTTATGAAAGAGGACATTCATTCACAGATTGAAATTTTAGGTGTTTGACATTTTAGGAGTTTTGGATTCTCTGATTTTTGAAATTTTGCGACTCTTATAATTTGTGCAATTTAAGAGTTTGGAAGTTTGAATATAAGATTTTAATTAACGTAATTTAAGACTAGAAATAGATAGATTTTGAGACTTCGAGATTTTAAGAATCTTCGAAATCAATTTGGAGATTTTGGGAACATAATTTTATTTATTTTTTTTCTTTTGCTTTTATTTTTTAGTGGGCGGGGTTTCAGCCAAGGCTGCTAAATGATAAGATGTTGAGATTTTTGAAATTTGGTAAATTTGTAATTTTGAGATTTTTCGATTTTTAAGAGTAATTAAAATTTTTAAGACAATTACGCTTTTACACTTGAAAACTAGATTTTGTCATTTTTAAGGTATTACGAGAGAATTCCAAATTAAAAAATTTTCAACAATTTATAGACTTTCTGAAATTTGAAATTCTGGCTGTTAGTTGAGGATCTTTAAAATTTTGTCGTTTTTGAGATCTTGAGACGCTTGAATTCTTGTCTTTTTGCAATTTTGAGATTTATGAAATATTATGGTATATTGAAATTTTGAGATTCTTAAATTAACGTAATTTAGAACTTTTGGACATTTCCGGTTCTAGAAATGTTGAGAATTCGAGATCCTTAAGAATTATAAAAATTGTAAATTTAAGATTTTAGGATTACATATCTCAAAAACTATACTGTGCAATTTTAAATTTTCTGATTTTTGAACTGGGAACACGAGTTTATAAGATTTGTGAAATTGTAGGAATTTGAGAATTCCAGATTTTAGATATTTCGGAATTTTCGATTTTAAGATATTTGTAAGTAATTCTATAAATTTAAAATTTTAGGATATTCATTTTGGAATTTTTAAATTTGGGATTTTTGGGTTTTGGGAATTTGAAATTTTGTAAGTTTTATATTTTGTGATATTGATACTCTTAAAATATGTGTAGATACCTGACATTTATACACTTACATTTATACACTTATACATTTTAAAACGTTGGGAACTTTTATGGAATTTTTGAAGTTTTAGGAATTTGAGGTTTTGCGATTGTTAAGATTTCGGGAATTTTTGGTAATTGGGAATTTAGGATTTTTAAATTTTGGCAGTTTTCGATTATGTTGAAATGAGAATTTAAGATTTTGTGATGATGAGATAAATGCATTTTTAAAATTTTGACCGTTTGAAAATTTGGGATTCTTGGATTTCAGGAAATTTAGCTGTAGGATTGTGGTAGTTCTTGGAATTTGAGATATTGGGAATTAAAATATGATTCTAGGAATTAGACATTTTGGGACCTTAATATTGGGATGTCGCCGGAAATTCTTTGATTTTCAGATTGTTGTAGTTTTGAAAATTTAAAATTTTTGTGCTAAAATTGTGCTAAAATTTTAGGAATTCAAAAGTTAAAAATTTTTAAACTCACATTCATTCAGAAAGAATTGAAGTCGCTAATCAATCATAAATTAGTTTAAACGTCGAGGGAACATTTACAACTGGTTAATCTCAAAAATAAAACAGCAATAACATTTAAAGTGAAATAAGCGAATAACAAATACATTCCAGGATTACCTACCCTTGAGTTGCAAGTAGCTGAAGTCAATACAATTTACAATAAAGCGAAGAATTACAATTACAACTCACATTACGAAGTGATCAAAAGATCTGTAAACCGTTCCCATTCGGATGACATCATCAGGTGTTCAATGAGATCAAAAATATTGAGGTACGATAAATGGATATGGGTAACTTAACCTATATAAATATGATTTGTCATCAGTGTAATTCCGCTACTCACGATAAGCATAGCTTAGAGCGGCATAATCACAATTCAAGGATGTTACGTGCAGTCAGGTATGTCACAAATAGTAAGAAAAATTTAAATCGGCATTTATTACAGCACGACACATCGAAAAATACCTACCAATGCAATTATGCCACGATGCCACAGTAAGGCTGTGTTAAAGCATAATCGACGTAAGGCAACGTTGACGAGTTGTAAAGTTGTAAGAGTGCGCTAGAAATTGAATGATAAATTGTGAACTTTACCTAGAACTAGAACTCAGATAAACTAAATTCGCTTTCAGAAAATATTGCCCCAGGAGGGGGCGGTAAACTAAAATTTGGATTGTAAATTGTTGAATCGATAAAGAATAGTCGTTGGTCTATAAAGTTCCAATGAATTTCGCCTATAATCGAATTATTCGCGAAGTTATTCGTGTATAGTGCGATTATTGATACAAAAAAACTCCCTTAGTTTTCAATCGATTTCGAGAAATGAAGAAGCATTGGATTTGTATTTTAAAGCTTCACAAATTCCGAAAAAAATAATAATAACAAAGTTATTAGCAAAAAACATGAAAATCCAAGATGGCGGCTCAATTTTCAGGATGTTCCGCACCTCGGAGATATGGGAACTCTTAGTATGTTAAAGAGCATTATTCGTACTACTAATTTCGGGCATCGCTTGCTTGTCCCGAATTTGTTCTAGGTTGAATTCTAATTTTACTCGACTATATATACCTATACTATTTTTTTCACTACTAGTTCTTGAAGTCCTCTAAATTAACATATTATATTGATAAGAAAGTGAATATATACCTATACTATTTTTTTCACTACTAGTTCTTGAAGTCCTCTAAATTAACATATTATATTGATAAGAAAGTGAACGGTTGGGCAGAATTTTTTGTTTATTCATTCAATATAATTCAATATAATTCAATATAATATAAATATAATAATTCAAATTCAATATAATGGTAGCACGCAACTG